GTTTACACAAAGACCATACAGTAGAAGCCAGAAAGTTGGAATATCATTATCGTAACCCCTTTAAGGTAAATGTTAGGGGATCCTACCATTAATCCATATTCCAACTTTCTGGAGTTCCCTTTAAACCTTAAATCCTAAACCCTAAACCTGTATTAGGGATCTCTTTAAGGCCTATGGGTATAAATCCCTTTAAGGATCCATATTCCAACTTTCTGGAGTTCCCTTTAGGGCCGAAATCCTGAACCCGTGAGCCTTGAGCGCTCGACTGCTTGGAGGTTCATGGGTAGTTATAAGTGGGGCTACAGGGGGTTTCCTTTAAGGGTCCCTTTAAAGGGCTCTATAGGGATTTAGGGTTTAGGGATTAGGGGACTTATAAGCGGGGTTATAAGTCCCCTAATATGGGTTATAAGTATAGTTACCCTGTTTATAACCCTACTTCTAACTACCCATGAACCTCCAAGTGTAGACCATACAACCATGACTCCTAAACCCTAAGCTAAAACACTCTGCTGGATAACATTCCTGACCCTAACCGAAGACCATACCTCCTAAACCCTCAAACCCCTTTAAGCCTCAAACCCCCCAAGCCCCACCACCCTGAACCCTGCAACCCTCAAGGCCCTGAGCCCTAAACCCCAATGAACACCCCCTCATGGTTAATGGGGTTCAGGTTCCTTTAAGGGGTCCTTTGAGGGGTTTGGGTTCCTTTAAGGCGCCCCGGATGTCAGTGGGCCTCCCAGTCGGTATCAGAGCAGGCCAAAAGCTGCCTCCAGTGGCAGCAGCACGCCGAGGTCCGCCGAGGGGTTTGGGCCTTGGGGGGTTCAGGGTTTAAGGGTAGCGCGGACGTATAGTGTCGGGTAAATGGTTGAGTGTGTGCGGTTCTCATAGGCTTACTAAAGTACTTGAGAGGGTTTAGGGCTTTGGGGTTCAGGGGCTCGGGGTGTAGGGTCGAGGGCTTGCGGGTTTACAGGTTTCCAGTGTTTACGGTTTATGGCCTCTTGTCATTGTCACACTTAGGGGAGGGTTAGTTAAGTGGTTTCTGGGGGAAGTGTTCACTGTAGTACTATAGAGGTCGGAATAAATAGAAATATTCCACCATTCTCTTTCCCTTTGATTTTCTACTCCAATGTACCCTAAGACCCTATTCCAGTTCTTGAGGCCCCTATGTTACAGACTCCTGAGTTTCCCGCCATGTTCCGCTTGGAGGCCGCCGTCCCGCGCAGACGGCCCCACCAGCATCAGGCGAGGTGTTCCGAAGTCGACGCAGAATCATAGGAGGCCAAAAGGGGTTTTAGCCTATTGGGGGTTTAGTAGGGATTAGGCTTCCCATCATAGAGGTCATATGAAGGAACCCCTACCCCAAGAATCTTAAACCCCCCTTTTGGCCTCCCATCACCTCAGAAGCATGTTGCTCGAAATCATGATACTTTTTCGGTATTGATTCTTGGTCATCCGAAGAACCATCCCAAACCCCCAAGCCCTAACCCCCAGCCTAAGCCTACCGATGACGGCCAAGGCAGGGCATCTTGGCCGCCAAAGCGGGGTTGAAGTCCAGGCGCGCGTCGCTTCCTGGAGAGGTAGGATTTGAGGCCTAAGGGTGGGTGTGGGAATCGAACCACAGGACCTCATCGCGAGGACCAAACCCACAGTGGAAGCTCTTTCCTCCAAAGTGTTTCTTCAACATTCCACTCTGAACCAGTTTCGCAGTTGAGGGCTTTGGGTTTAAAGTTTGTGATTCCAGATCTAGGGCTTACGGTTCCTGCGATAGGTTTTTCCATTTCGGGTCGTACCTAGCTCCTATTCAGGTTTTCATGGTTCGGGTTTCCCACTTAGGCTTTCTATGGGCCTGGATGACTACGTACTTGTTAGGGTTCAGTAAGTCTTAAACCTTAAACCCCAAGCACTAGATCAGCTCTTAACCAGCACTGACCCCTTCTGCATGGCCTAAATCATCACCAATACTATTTTGCGCCTCCTGTCCACAGATATAGCATAATACGGTAGACCGAAAACCCTATTCGAATGGCCTGAGCCCTGCACCCTAAACTTTTCAACCCGACGAGCCCTAAGCCCTAAACCCGGGAACGCTTGGATCAAAGGATGCCGAGAAATGCCCGATACCGATAGAGCCCTAAGCGCCAAAATCCCTAACCGTACCCGACATTGGAAGCTTCAATAATTTCTAACTAACATTATTCCTTCGAGCTCCTCATTAAAGTAGAATATACGCCACAATTCATTCGACTGATTCACGCCCCTATTTTCACCCTACCTTAACCCTGAAGAACCTACCTTCTTAGGGTTCCCTATTCTGATTTCCTTATATGAGTACTTAAAAAGGTAGGTTCTTCAGGGTTAAAGTAAGCCCTAAACCCTAAACCTTGTGGGGGTTACCTTTTAGGATCCTTAATATATAGTTGGTTAAATCAAAAAAGGAACTACAATGGAGACTATAGAAGGTAGGGGTTTAGGGGTTCCCTAATTGGGGTTATAAGTATAGTTACCCAATTATAACCCTAGTTACTAAGTCCCATGATCCCTTAAGTAGCCTTTAAAGCCCTAAGCTCGGCGAGGCCTGCACCGACGACAGCCCCTCCGTGAGCTCGGAGAAGCCGGGCTCGGCGCCGAGGTTTGTGTGGTTTAGGGGTCTGTAGTAGGGTTTAGGGTTTTCTGGACGTCAGGGTTTAGGGTTTGGGGTATACGAAATATTGATCTGAAGTAGGGGTCTGTAGTAGGGTTTAGGGTTTTCTGGACTTTAGGGTTTAGGGTTTGGGGGCTTTAGACTTTTCGGTTTGGGGCCTCTGGTTTAGGGTAGTATCCCATAATAAGACCCAGCAATGCCCGAGGGCAATCACTGCTTCATATCAAGTCAGGTGTATACAGACTTTGGTTTTACAGGGATGCCAGAGGGTTTACGTTGTGGTTTGGTGGTTGCGCTAGTCATTGGAACAACACCGCGGAGCGGAAGGTTCGAAAGCTTGCCTGTGAGACTGCGAAGCTGCCTTTCTAGAGGGGTTTCCTTCCTAGCCTTATCAGGGTAACTATATGGGAGTTTCCGAAATCGGGGACCCTAATATAGTACCCTAAATAGTAGGATCCTTCTTATATGGACCCCGCAATAAGGTACCCCTAATTTTCGGGAACTCCCACATGCGTGAAGATTGAGGTGATCGTGTAAGGATTAGTGTAGGGGCTCCGGTTCCTGTTCAGGGCAGGGAAGCATTCGGCCTAGTGCGTAAGGATTATCGTAAGCCACCTTACAGTAATCACTGCGAGTGTGAACACGAATGCATACGACTGCACGGTTAAATCCTCCTGCCTGGGTTTCCCCCATGGTGGAGCCAGTCAGATCAGCCTCTGCCACATATGTGCTCTCAGTGTGGTTCGCCCCAAAGCTTCCATCTCCAGTGGAGGCATGCTAGAAGAAGCCCTGTAGCACATCACGGCCTCCGTACAACTAGTGCCGAAGTAAGCTCTCTTCCTGTAGAATAGAACAGTATGCTGCACAACCTTCTTCGCATCACTTGAGAGACACCTGCATCTGTGCATGTCTGAGCAACGCGTTTTGTCACACTCACATTCCACCAGAGTCCGCGACCTGCGATTTTCAAGATAAGATGGATCCAACATCCTCATCCGAACCGGTAAACTATACAGGCTACAGGGTTTAGTGTTTTGGGCATCGCGGTGTTGGAGAACAGCAGTACTATCAGGTGCCTCCCTGGACCTATCAGCGACTGCCGCCGGCATGTTTGGGAGGTGATAAAACAGGGACGTGGTGCTGCTCATGTGATTTGCAAGGGCTGTGCAGTCGAAGTGTCGGATACGGATGCAAAAGCGCGTGCTTTGCGAGGCTCAGGTCTAAGTCGGTGCTTATCTAAATCTGATTCCCAGACGGCCAACGTCAGCTTGCTTGAGGGTCCTTCTGTTGTCTATACTTGGGTTTGAGACCTGACATTAGAAGTAGGGTTATACATAGTGGCTTCTGGTAGACAGCGCGACAATGATCTGAAGGTAACGTGACTCCTGACATAATATACCCCAAAGCCCTATTTTAACCATTAGGCCCCTTCACTTAGTTTGCCGAATCCAGCGAGCTGTCACCTGTCCACTGCAGCCATTGTTGGCTTCCTTGAGAGGTGCAAGGCTGATGTTGGTTGCAACCAGCAGGGCACTATAGGGGCCTAAACAATTACAAGTACCAGTACTATTTTGGGGAGCTAAAACCCTATTCTCATTATTAAGGCCCCAATCTTAATACACTGCACTGGCAACCCCAAATCCCTTCTTGAACACTTAGCCCTCAGCCTCACATCCCCCGCATCTCCCAATCAGAGCTGCTGGATGAGGGAGCCCAGCAGGCCTGCCTGTTTAGCCGAGTCCGGCAACCAGCCCTGAGTCCTCATGCGCATGTTTGCTTAAGGCTTCGGTTTGAGGGTACATGTTCGGCTTTTGGGTTCATGCTTAGGGTTTGTAGAGTTCACTGGCCGAACAGGATGGTTCTCATGCTTCTTCGTGCGCACAGTCTTTCGGTGTGAACAGACGAGGTGCAAATAAGTTCAGGATCTCAAGGCATGGTGTCTGTGTCATCCTGGGAAGAAGTTTAGGCTCCAGCGTGGCCTGGAACCTGCCGAAACCCTCGTTAGAAATGTGCTCGATCTTCCTCGCATCTCTGATCTGTCATCAACCCCGCCCCCAAAACCCTGAGCCCTGAACCAAACCCTGAAACCTAAACTGCCTCTGTGCTCTTGTAGAGGCGAGTCTGCCAAGCAGCAGTCGGCGAGGCCCGGCGACAAGGTTAGGATCACCGTTCTCGTCTGTTGGTGACCCCAGTTTATGTGGGGGGTTGCAGAGAGGCGGATCATAGTTCCTTGAGGCAGGTTGTTCCTGCAGTTGCTGCTTGGTAGGAGCTCCTGAAACGTTGTGACGTGCTTACTTGGCGCAACTTCGGCAGCCTTTGCATTTTGGGAAGATAGGAAGTGAGTTCTCTGTTTGAAGCCATGGCGGCTGTGGCGGGCCATGAATTGCTGCAATTGCTTGGTCTAGAGCAATGTGGTGATTCCATGGTTGCAGACGGCATTTCCAGCCTCAAGGCGGGAAAGTCCTTCGACTCATGGGGACTCTTGCGCTGATCTTTAGCCTTAAGAGAAAGTTCAGACTTCAGGGTTGTTTAGCGCCCATGTGGCTTGCATCCTCAGATAGACTTTGGCTTGAAATCGTGCCGGCCTCAGTGACTGTGGCTCGGTTCAGGCCGTTATGGAGATGACGGAGGATGACATGTCTCGCTTTGAGATCGAGCCACTTACGGCAGAGCTTCTCAAAGAGCGACAGAATGTGTGGAAGTTTCTGGTTCAGCACCAACTATGGCTCTGTGCCGAGAAGCTCTTCATGAACGGCTATGACAGCATGGCAGACGTAAGAGCCATGGGACAAGAAGAGATGAAGGCCTGTGGGCTGTTGCCGGGCCATCAGAATAAACTGCTGCGAATCTTGGAGAAGGAGTCCGAGAAGGTGCTGGGCCGAGAAGTCTGAAACGTGGATAATGAAGTTTACTCGGTCCACTCTATCCCAGGCATGGCTTGCAGGTCGATGTTGCATAGATTTGCATCTGGCTTGGCACAAGGAGGGCTTCGGAAATTCTGAATATTTTTGGAAATCTGATCTCTGCACTGAGGTGCCCGCAGACATGGCCGAGCCGGTTGCGGCCACCAGCAGCGAGCCCAGTGAAGAAACATCTGCGGCCCCGTGGCTGCACATGATGCCCCTCGCACCTTCAGCCCCAACAAACCAGGAGCGTCTGCAAGCTAGATTCATGGCCATGAGATTGATCTGAGATCTAGGAGCTCGTGATAGCTCGTGTAAACGCAACTCCCCAACTCCTGCAGGAGGTCCTAGCCCTGTCCCAGAGTTGTCGCAGTGCTCCCGAGGCAGAAGGGGATGCCACGGAGGATGACAGCAGCATCACGCAAGCAGCTTGGCGTCGGAGATGGTCGGATTTCGGGGCCAGTCTCACAAAAGAAAGGGAGCCAATGTGGTGTAATCCCAGCACGAAAGTTCTGGATGTCTGAGTTGAGGCACAAAGATAGAACCGTAACCTTTGAACCCGGTATCCATCCATCTATCATGCTGGATCTTTAGGCCAACCTGGAGGCGAGGGATGATGCATCCGGGGACGACAACCTCCTTCCGTGCGACCAGGCGGAGGCAGTGCCCTGGTAGAAGCCGTGTTTTCGTCAGCTGCAAGGCAAGGGTTATAGAACCAGGAGAAGCTGATTGCTGCCCAAACCCGGACCTGAGTGAAATTCGAGTGACAGCTTGTTTTTGTTCATAGTCCTCTGCTAGTCTCTTGCCAATGGCACATTGTCGATAAATCTTCATCAATCCTGGAGTCGAGGCCACAAACTCTGTCTCTATGGACGACAACATCACTGTGCAGTGCGCAGATGAAGTGGTTTCTTGATCGACGTTTTGCTTACTAAAGTATTTTGGAGTCCGGTGCGACAGATTTTTGGGCTGCTTCAGTTCCCGCATCAACCACAATCGTGTTTGTTTCCTGCAGCTTTACAGGGTGTATAGACCTGCCTAGGCAACTGCATGACTGCGTGAAGCGTGGCTCACGAAGACTTCGGGCTTTGGACTGAGCGTTTCCGGTATCGTGCTCAGTCACCTCCGAGGTCCAGCAGACGCACCAGGAGGAGGTGGCACAAGCAGATGAGGTTGCCATTGTTGAGGAAGCAGCGACTGTTTCTCATCCACCCGATCGTCACAGCGAGGAGCTGTCATGCAGGGCACTGCTAGAGCCTTGGCAGATGTTGTCGCTCGAGACTGCCATCATGACTTCATGTCGGCAGCCATCATTGTAGAAGCCGTAGGACTGCATGCCCCGAAACTCAGCTGAACACTGCAGCAAACACTGCATTGTCTCCCTTCCACCGTTCAGAAGGGACCAGTGGAGAAGATTTTCGGACCAGCAGCCTGCACCGCGCCACATCACAGAAGATCCTTTCCACACTCCCATGAACGCCCCTCGAGAGGGCATAGCTACATCCCCTGGATGTCGGCAACCAATCCTCGACTTTATCCACACTTCAAATTGCAGGTGCTGCGCTGTAGGGCCTCACCATGCGTAACCTTTCGGTGGCCCTCAGATGCTCGCGGCATTCGCAGCCCAGGAGCTGCCGAGGGACTCCTCCAGCAACTCTCTTTGCGCGTGGCCCGTCGCGAGCATTTTCGCTTCTAGTGTAGAGGGTTTAGGGTTTAGGGGTCCCTCAAGCGATGTGCGGGTTGCTCTGAGTCTTTTCCTGTGTTGTCCCTGTTGTTGAAGAATGGCCCTCGTTTTCGTGACACCTGCGAGAAGTGAGAGCCCTAAAGCCCGCGGCTTAACTCATAGTTGTTGATTTGTTGTAGAGGAAGCCCGAATATGGAGTTCGCCGGACACCACTCATGAGAGACTTTGCTCTTGGTATTTTGTTCCGGGCTTATATGTTGGAGAGGAGGGGCAGGCTCTTGACAGATCGTGACCGATTGGCTTCACGGCGTTGGGTCGTAGAGTGTCAGCACCGCATACCTTGCCTGTTGCAGAGACTGAGAGTTCTCTTGTTTTTTGGCCGGGGTACACTCGACAGAAGCAGCACAAGCCGCCGCAACCCCACGACTGAGATACATCAAGCATCACACAAATGGAAGCTCAACTCCAACATAGCCCCAAAGCCCCATAGAAAGTTCTATTTGAAGCCTCATGGAAACCTTGTCAACACCTTGTAGGCAGGTTGAACCCCGAGGTCGGAGGATTGGGAGTTGGCGGACGGAGACATTGACTTCACTTCCCGGAGGGCAAGTGAATCCCCTCAGAAGATCGGCTTGGCGGCTCGAATTGTCATCATCATGACTGTGTTATCTTTATGACTATGTTTGTGAGCATAGTTATGACTATGAATATGACAGAGTTGCGGTTTTCGCTTTCAATTTCGGGGTTTATGGTTTTGGGCCCTGGCTGGGAATTCAGGATTCATGATGTATCGTTCAGCGTAAGGGCCGTCCTTAACAACGTTTACAGGGTTGGGGTTATGAATCTTGCCAGGTCAGTCCTGCTGAGGAACCTGGATTCTGTATCATGTGGGCCTGAAGTCTGAACACGCTTAGTTGCTCAGCATGAGTGCACGATCGAGTCAGTGTGGCTTGCGCACATGGTCGGTAGATTTTGAGACCAGAGCATCTCCCAGACCCAAAGTTAGAAGTGTGACATCCGAAGTCTTCGATGCAGAGCCTGCCCTGCATCTATCTTATACTGAGAGGCATGCAACGTCAACTTGGGCCGTGTCTGCCTTTACATATGGTCAATGTGGTCTCTTCTTGATGCCGTCTTCTCCGCTTCGTAGACGGTGCATGGGTTATAACTACTTAGGACCTTGACCGCCTGGCAGATGTCATTGCGGAGTCTGACAATGCAGTGAGCCTCGGCAATGATAAAGCTGAGTCCAGTCCCGTGATTTGGCAGTGCAGGGGCGAATGGCATTCATGTTCAGTGAGGTGATGAGAAGGTGCTTTTTTCCAACTGGGGTGGGCAAGTCGGGGCGTTAGGAAAGGAACTAGACATATACCTTGGCATACTTTCGTTTGGTGTTCATGCAACGGAAGAAGTGAGATATGGTGTTGTGTGTCAGGCGGGTTTGCTTCTTCGCGTCAGTCGAGGAACGCAGCGAAGGACGAGAACGTGATCATGCTCTTGGGCAGTACGGGCTCTGGAAAGACGTGTTTCATTCACACCCTTGCAGGCAGGGGTTGGTTGTGTCATCGGACAGAAGCACCTAGTTATATAGTTAGCTCTAGCAAGCAGGTCTGTCGCAGATGGCTTCATTGCGACACCTTGGCTCCACATTCCAAGCCAAAGCCCGTTTTCCTCCAACGGCCAGGGCAGCGGCTTGTTCGCACCACGATCTCCATGGATGGTCTGACGAAGGACGTGTATGCCACCTGGATCTGCATCATGTTGCTTTCGTGTGGGTATCAAGGTATCTGGCCACGGGAAACATGAATTTCATGAGGTACTTACCAGTAGGTCTCCCAAGTAGGCGCTTCTTTTTTTGTGGTCTTAGTTTCCTTATCAAGCTACCCAATACCAAAACTGGAGCCCTTTTCATCCCTTGCATACTGGGCATCCCAGCTGCTGTAACATGTTTTCGTCTTTGAAAAGTGGGCTGAGCTCTGGCTTCCTGTGGCTCTCCACGAGGAAACGATGAAACCACCGAATTAGAAGGAATCTCATCTTTGCTTCATTCTCCTCCTCCTGCTTCCACGCTGAGGAAGCAGAGAGTCCGATTGAGGGTTTCTCCATCGGGCACAAGCTCAGCTCAGAAACGAGACTCGGCGTCCTCGGTCGTTAGTGTTGCTGCTTCTGGACATTTGCTGTTTCTGCTCCGTACATACATACATTTTACATTTTACATGTATGCTTGCATGTACCGACCGATATCTCTATTATCATGTCTGTATCTGTACTTCCACCCTGCCCCTATACCGTCTATATCTATATTCGTGTGATATGCTCAAACTTTTAATTCCACGGTTGTTGTATGCTTCCGCTGTACTCTGACTTAGCCAGCATTGCTTGCTGAGGAAGTGTCTGAAGGCAATGGTGCACCCTTGTGATCGAAATGCGGGGACCTCATTTTTCAAAGTGCGGGTTTTCTTCCCATCCATGCACGTGCACACTTTCTCGGCCAGGGGCCTTTGACTGTCGGCTTTGTTATTGAGGTTAACACGTCAGAAAGTTGATACGAAAGCCTCAACATATGCATACGCCTACCAGGTCATCACTTTGCGTTTACATGTCTTGAGCGAAGGATTCAAGTATAGAATTAGTCTGATGGCAGGCGAAGGATTCAGGTTGTGGATGACAAGTTCCTCCAACCCTAATCCCAACTTTCTCGGCACTTGTGAACTTCCATACCTCAGGTGGTGATTGTGGACGCGCCGGGACAGTTCGACACGCGAGGAGATGAAATCGACATTGCCACCCCAGCGGCATGTCGTCAGCTCGCTCAAGGATGCAGGAGTCGCGCATTGAAGGGCTTGCGCTGAAGAGCTTGCTTGGACGATGTGTTGGACCTCACATGAAACTCATAAGAGTGCTGCACTCCCGGCCTTCCGCCATGCACTGTGAAGCAGTACTGTTTTGAAGGCGGGCTGTACGGGTGTCCAGCTGCTTGCTTGGAGGATGATGCGCTTTGTCATCCTGATCAACTGCGGGACGTTCCAGTCGGAAAGAGCCCACATGCTTCGGCAGATGGCCGCCGCAATTCGTGAAGTTCTTCCTGACTATCCCAAGAAGCTTGCTTCAAGTACTTGTGGCATGTACACGTAGGCTTCACTGGAGACAGCACCGTGTGCTGCTGCATCGTGACTTTGGCTGAAGTGCCGCCTTTGTGCGACAATACATCCTAGGAGACATCGAATGGTATTGGGTACACCTCGTTTGCCAGTTTGTGCCATGTTTGGTTGTAGTTCCATGTTCGCCATTTCTACATGTTCCTCGCAGCCGCAAGGAAGCCCTGAGCAGTCTGCAAACCTTGAGCCTCTATCCAGGAAGCATCGCTATGTCGTTTCCTTCTTCTTCACTCAGGTGGAGGCTGCGCGCTGTTCAGGGTTTGGGGGTGAGGAATGCTGGGGAAAGAAGCTTTGAGGATCAAGGCCCAAGGCAGGTATTGCTTGGACAGCTGCAGATACATAATTAATTAGTGTTGCGCTAAGCACGAGCCTCGTCGCCTGCTTGTGGCCCTTTGGGGCGTGGGGAGTCGTTTGGTATGTGACAAAACCAAAGCCTGTAGCCTGAGTCATGAATGACAAGGTGCACTAAGAATGTTTGAAGCCAGCAGCCCACTGTCTGCTGCTTCGTGCTGAGCAGGATCTGCCAAATCTCCGCCAGATTGGCAAGGAGATGAAAGCAACGGAAGAGAAGTTGGACTTTGCGCGTGAGAAGGTATATTCGTGGCTCAAGGCATGCTGGAAGGATACAGACCCCCATGACGAAGCTAAGCTGCCTCAAAGAGGGTCATGCAGCAACATCAGAATTTCATGGAAGTTGGATATGATAGGTCAGGACCCCTTTGCTCGCCATTGCTGCAGTTGTGGAGGCAAATGGATCGATGGATGTATATAGACATAGCATGCAACATAGTCTCAAGACAGCAGGCTGCATGCCAACTAAACACTCTATGAGGCAGCCGCCGAGTCACACTACAATTCTTGCTTGTTGCTGTTGCCCAGGAGTGCGTGGACACCGTCCGCTGGATGATGCAGAGCATCGAGAAGCATAAGCAGGGCAAGCTTGCCAGACGTTTCGTCGATGTGTACCACCCAGAATGGACACCCTGCGCTGCTCTTGTCGACGCCATTGAGACCTTCAGCTCTGCCAAGGAGGCTTTGAGCCAGGGGCCCAGCAGAGTCCATGCAGAGGGTTACAGCTCTGCCACGGCAACGCCGGGGAGTCGTTTCTGCTCAGGGCTTACGCTGCTTGTCGTTGTTCAGCGGCCCGTCCGATCTCCAGTCGATATGCTCGATTGAGTTGCTAGACCCCCCGCCTTTTTCTTGTGTGGCTGAGGCCAGGACCATGAAGGGGCGAAGCCTGCAAAGGAGGTCGGCTACGTCCTGACATCCAAGAGTAAGGCGTGCAGTTTGCACGGGATCATGTGCTTGCGGGATGCGGGAATGGCTTGCCTTCTGATCCCCGAAAGCACTCCGAAAGCCTCGAAAGCATATTTGCCCGCCACACGCTCTTTCTTCTATGAAGGAGGTCTTCATGCTAAGACACGAAGTGCCCGAACCGGATGTGAGTCCCAGGTGAAGATTGAGCGAATGCTTTCAGCCGCAAGAGATGGCCTTCGAGTCAAGCTGATCAGCGAAGATGGCGATGAACTGGAAGCCATCGGCATCCTGCTGCATCTATGCTAGGTCCAGTAGCTTTGGACTCCTTGAGTATGCTTCAGTTCATGCCGCGAAACGATTGAGCTAGCTGTTCGAGCCGAAGCGAGAACATACAGTAAGTGGCAGCGTAGAGTGAAGAGCTTATGCTGCACAGATAGACCGGCACTGTCCATCGTGTGGTGCCTCTGGCCAGGCAAAATTCGGAAGAACGTGGAGCTCATGAACACCTACCTGGGTACTCTCGGCGTAGTCACCCGGGCAGCATCGTGCAGGGACGTGCTCATGCAGATGTGTAGGGTTTCAGCGTAAGCTCGCTCTCCGCAAAGACGGCCACGACTCCTTGATCCACAAATGCTCCTCGATCTTGCGGCGGCGGCCTCGAACTAAGGTAAGCACAACGAGGGCCGAGATGGAAGACCTTCTTCACAGACACGAGGAGTCTCTCAAGCTTCTCGCCACGGTGGGCCATCATGTGCTTGTAGCATTGTCCCAAATCACACATCAGATGAGCTCGTATTCGGGCTGAAAGATGATGCATGTCTCGTTCCACAACGTCGAATTATTTTGCTGAGGCAGCAGGTTAGCGAAATGCTCTGCAACGCCGAGACCTTGCAGCAAAGGGGTCGAGGGTTCAAGGCAGTCGCTATCACTCAGTCCTTGAACATCTCATCCACAAATCCTCAAGCTACGAGTCTGGATGCTGAGGAGAAGCAATCGGAGGCCTTCGGACAGGACTGGGCCAAGCAGGTCTGGCTCCTTGTCGGCAAAAGCTTTCTACTTGGCATCAAACGACATACTTCCCACACGTGAAGTCAAATCATGAGGATACATCTCAGACAGTAATCTTGCTCAGGCACAAAATCAATTTCCTGGAAGGGGTCTGCAATGTGGGCACCGGAGGCAGACCGGCTCGTGTTTCGCAGCCCAAAATACGGTCGCGTGTTCTTGAATCCAACGCCGGCATGGGGGTTGCAACAATTGACAAGTGCGTCTCCGTGGTAGTTTCTAGCCATAGGTTCTGTTATAGACTGACATAGACCTTCCTCAATCATCTGCATCTCAGCAGGTGATGGCGCCGCCGGCCTCAATCCAGCTGTCGGGCTACGTGCCGCCGTCGACAGTCTTTTGGTGTGCAGATGCAGAGTCCGTGTGCCCCAAATCCTACACCCCGAGCCCGCTCTTTTCGCTTATGTTTCACACGGTTCGGCAGTCTGGTTTCACCTGAGGGCCCGAGAGGAGTCTGCTCTTGCTTTCGAACTTGGCAGGTGTGGTTCATACTAAGTGGTCTACATCATTACGGGTTGGAGAAAGAGCCTTGACGCAGCAAAACCCCAGCCCCAAGCCACCAACTCTACCAGCAAATCCGCAAAACCTTAAATTGGCCCAAACCTGAAACACCCAGCCCAGGCCTGCTCCAAGCACGCTCTGATCAGCTGACCAAGCTCCTAAGCGGCGAAGGCGGACCTGTGCCAGAAGGGGTTGATCTGTGCTCTGCGGCTTCTGTCCTGCTTCCAGCGATTTCGACTGCCAGTAGTTTGCCAGTTCGCTAGGGCCGCTAGGGTGGAGTTGGGTGGCAATTCACCGTAGAGTCTTGAAAGGTAGATTACCCATCACATGTACAAGGCAACCTGTCATCCATGATTGGACCTGGGGTCTACGCCTCCAGTAGAGGACATGTGCTCCTCCAGGAATCATGGATCGCGGAGAGCGCATGCCTCTACCATGCATGGAGACGGACGTGTCCACATTATCTGCCAATGCCGTCCGTGCAGAAGCCTTCCATCCCTCATCCAAACAAAAACAGTGCAGACATCCTAGGCTCGGGAGGGCCCGAACTCACAGCGCCAGGCATCCCCGCGGCAGCTGAGCTCCATCGCTCCGTTGCGAAGATCTCCACCTGGGCAGAGATCTTCCCGGACCGAGGCCCGCAGAGACGTCCCGAAGGGTGCAAAGAACTCAATAAATCAGGTATTCGGTTTTAGGATGGTAGGATGGTAGGTTAGTAGTTGGGCGAGCATATGATTATTAGGTGCTTGGACCCTTTTGGGGGGTTGGAGTGATGGAGTCATTCTGTCTTGCAAACTTGCGCTGGGTGACGGAGGTCAGGAAGCCCAGGGACTACTCCAGAGCTACATCAACCAGGCAGGCGTCCTTGCTGAGCGGTTTACGTAGCCTCTTTCCAAGATTCGATCAAGCATGTATGGTTTGGGTTATGTGCACATGGCGCCACACTCTGGTTTGCCAGCTAGAGGTTGCAGTGAACAGTTCCCAGCTTTGCGTGGCATGCCATGCCTGTTCTGCACCCTCGCTCTCCGCCTGTGATGTTTGCGGGTCGGTTTTGGTCAGCTGCTCTTGGCCTCGATGGAGGCCGAATGGTGCTTCCCCCTCTGAAGTGTAAACACGAGCCACGAGCTTCTTGCAGGTTGTGGCAGCGGCATCCTCACAGACCGGGACTTTGCAAGAGCAGCTGGTATTTCTTGCGCGGCTGGAGAGCATCTGTTCCTCTGCGACCTTGAACGGGGAGATGCTGGGAGACACCAGCAAGGCCGCCGAAGCCATGACGGGGCTCGAGGCGTCGGTGACCACCCACTTCGAGCAAGTCTTCCAACGTGGCATGGAGTCCATCGACGCCACGGTGTCCGCAGTCTTGAAGGCTCCCGGATCCGCCTCTGCCAGCAAGGAGACCTTGCTGCCCTTCGGTGCCCTCATCTCTCAGCTCACCGACCCTGGGTTGAACGGTGTAACTATGTGTCATGCTGTTTGCTTGTGTCGCTGCGACCTTCCAAAGATGCATACAAAACCATGAGATGTCTCAACAACATGGTTCAGCGTGCATGTCCATACATACTCGAGAACAGCTCAGGACTGCAAGCACAGCCTGGAGGGCGCTGATCAGGCATCCCCGAAGACTCACGCCATGCTTGCAGAAACTCCGGCAGCAATGATTAGAAGGCTGTTGTGGCAATGTACATACAAAGAAACTTCGAAGGAAGCCATGACTTCGCTTGATGGATGGCTACAGGAGTGGACTCGGCGATCATGTAACCTGCTGGAGCAGCAGCTGCCGAAGTTGCAGACGCAGGCGGCAGCAGCTTCTTACGTAGTTGTAGCAAGCCAAGCCTTTGCTACGATGTGGAGTTTGAAGGGCCTCGCACAGTTCGCCTAAGTGCATACATTGGCATACAGTCTCATGACAACCCTTGTGAGGCTCAATTTCTGATGAGTGCCGCTACTTCATCTCCATGCACTGTCGCTTGTCTCGCGCAGACCTCGCATGCGCATGTTGGCTAAAGATGTTTTGTCATGGTGTCAAATTGCCGCATGAGGACACGGATGCAGCCACTGGCACTTGCATCAAGAATCTCTGTGAGACTATCCATCTCATCACCGGGACTTTGCCGACGAAGAACAGGGAGACTTTCCGGCAGAGCTTCGCACATCCTGCAGCTGAGATTCAATGCTTCATTGCTGTCTGTGTGTGTGAGTGTGTTTCTAATCCTACACAAATCTCCTGAACATGTCTTATGAGGCTTGAGGTCCTTTTCCATAAAGGGCTTCAGGGAGAACACTTCCGAGGTGCATGCGGAGGTGAATGTCGGCGTCAAGCAGATGTTGTCTGCGGCAAGGGCGTTGTGCGAACAAGTGGTGCCGGCCTTACGATCGAAAAGAGCTGCAAAATAAAGGATAGCAGTTAGGTTTGTTGCTGTTCTTCATGCGGCTTCATGGCATTGGCCGGCTGTACCTCCGACTTCACCTTCAGCAGCATGCAGTCATGCAGTCAGCGGAGGTCAGCAGTTGTGCACCACCTACGCTGTCAAGCTTGCGAGCGTGGCTTGTCAATCGTTATGGACAGTTGTGGCTCTTTTCCTTCAGGTTGTGCATGGACTGCTGCAACACAAAGCAGTTTTGACCAACAACAACTCTCATGGGTTTCAGCCGTCGAATTATAATCCCTACAACTGTAGCACCTGAACCCTTCAACCCTTGAAACCATAAGATCCCGAGCCCTGTAACCCTGAACCCTGTCAGCCAAGGCTCATTCAGTCTCTCCAACATTATGAATGGCTGGATGAGGTCACAAAGACGGATGACACGCTCATGGCAGCCTTGCAAGACCTCGAGCCGCTGAGCAGAAGAATGGGGATGTGGTACGTCTAGGAAGTAGAAGCCATGTCATTTCCTGCTGGTAGCAGGAGCTTCTTCTAGCTCTAGATTGCTGTCCGGGATATTGAAGAAGCAGAAGCCTTGTGGTTTCTCGAGCAGTATCGTTTTCGAGCCCTTGCATCTGCAATGCGCCACAGCCGGTCAACCGGTTTCGATGTTGAACTGTCCAGAGCAGCAATAGCAGCAGCTGGACGATCCGGTTTGTTGCCTTCTAGATTGCTGCCTCTGTCACGTAGTTCCAGGATTGCTGGTGTTGGCAGGCAGTTGATTCTCACAGTTAGCGTAGCTGAGGGATCGCATGACCAAGCACTCGAGCGACTCGCGGAAACAGCTGCTCAAGTCGCTGCTGTGCTTTCTGGGCACCTGCCCTGCACAACGGGCCTTGCCGCAGCTTGGTCTCGGGAAATGTTGGTTGACATGGCTAATGTAACCGCGACATTTTGTGCGACACGCACTTACAGTCTGCGTGCCTGCGAGGCAGGTTCGGAAGACTTGGGAGGATTTCCGGAAGTTGCGAGACCTCGGGCCAGTCTACCCAGCCTTGGAGAACGACCAGCGAAGCTGCCTCGAAGATCCGCGGTTGCTTTGCTTGCTGTCTTTTGATCTAGATGTGAGGGCTGTCCGCGCGTGATATCCCAGGAGCTTCGGCGCATTTCGGCCGAATGGGTGTCAGGCAGGATCCGCGCCTCCCGAATGGATCAAATCTGGGCATCGGCATGTTTGATATGGTTGAACAACACAGATCCAGCGCAGGTCCTGTCGAGTCCTTTTCCAGCAAGTTGGAAGACCTCGACAGTCTGATTGTGCAAGAGGTAGACCAGGCACATCGGAGTTTCTCCATGTCTTTGGCTTTTGTGGTTCGGGCGACGAAGGCCGCGCTCCCCATCTTTTCGCCAGGGCTGTGGTGCACTAGTGTCCAGAGTGCTTAGTTGGAATCTGTGCTGCAAGCGACTGCCGAGATTTCCATTCTGTACCGATGTCTGCAGGTTCTCCATGCTGCTGAGCAGCTGCGTTCCGTTTGTTTGGATGCTATGCCCGAGCTGAGATGTGCAGACGAACGAGTCATGGCCCGCCTTGATAGGGTGAGAGTTCATTCGAGCACTACTTTCGCTTGCCATGCCGATGCCAGAGGTATAGGTCCGAAGCATGAGGTGGTTCAGCCAGCCAGGTGAGGGTAAGGTTATGCAAGGTTTCAAGGTTTCGGGAATGTCTTGGGATGTCCCGACTTCTCCGCCCAGGACTTGCCAAGACCTTGTCGGAACTAAAACAGCAGATTTCGACTTCCGTGGCTGCTGCTGGCAACTATGAGGAAGCTTACTTGCTCGGGGCGGTGTAGCTGAGTCCATCCGGTCTGATCATGCGTTATGACAGACTAGCTGGCTTGGAAACGAATTGAGAGTTTCCGAGAATAGGATACCCCAATATAGCACCCTAAATAGCAGGATCCTTACAATAAGGACCCCAAACTCAGGTACGCTTCATTGTCGGAAACTCCCAATTGAATTTGCATCTGCTACTCTAGAGCTTCGCAAGTTGCCCGAATCCTGAGCCTGAGGAGAAAGACCGAATCCTTTCGATCCTGCAACACTGGCGGGCCAAGGAGTTCTCGACGTTCCTGCAACACCTGCCGGAGGTTTCAGAACTCAAGAAGCAAGTGCGGGAAAATCTTCAAGAAGTCATGGACGATTTGCAGAAGAAGGTCTTGGATCCCGAGCGGCGCCAGACTGCCCAAGATTCCCTGGCGACGCTTCAGCTGCTCACGAAGTTGGAGAACACGGCCTTCAGACAGGCGAAGCAGGCCCTGATAGGATTGCAAGACTTGGCAGGAGCGCGGAATGTCGAGGACGACAAAGACATCCAGTGGCACATCGAGCATTCCACCTTCAAAGGGCTCAAGCATTTGTTGGGCTCTGTACCCGAAAAAGACGCAGCAGGTTTGGAGGCTGATCTCTTTCGCCAACGGCTGGAACGTATAGCCGACTGTGTCAAGAAGCACCTTGCACTGGCCAAGAGCTCGTTGGATGTTCCAGAAACCTTGGCAAAGGAGCTGGACAAATTGAAGGCCGCGAACGAAGACATCGGTGACTTGCTTGAGATCCATCAGGACAGCCGCGACCTTTGAACGCCCCAAGTCCTCCTGCCTTGAGTGGCAGGGCCCGCGATCTTTCTTCTGAACGCATTCTTCCTGATTTAAGTTATGCCTATAACATCCATGTACCAACAGAAGCTCATCGGTGCCCGACAGGAGTTGCACTTGTCCGAGGAGTTGCGAGAGTTGCAAGAGCAAGCTGCAGAGCGCGCGCAGACGCTGATTGACCAGCTTAAGGACCAGCATAGAAGTGCTGTGTATTGTTCGGTGTGTTCAGTGTTGTTAGTGTGCGAGTGTCTAGACTTGCGCCTGTCACCCGTGAGCTGCTTGGGGATGATCTTGGAAGTTGCTGTCAGCAAATGCGGACATGTCAACCGATCAGCTGCAACGTCTTTTGGATTGCATGCTCATCGCTCGTGAACAGTAAGCGGCAGCACTCGTGGGATACATTCGTATTTTGTCGGTTCAACATCTGCTTATCACAGAGGAAGGCATCAGAGAGCTGGTGCATGTCCCGTGTAGGCTTACATCGAGCAGAAGAGCTACGGGCTGTGCCTCGAGCGGTCAGAGGAGCTGACGCACGTGTTTCAGCGCTGGGAGGCTTCCCAAATTTTGACACGCACACAGCAGAGCGAAGCCGAGATGACCATTGACAAGGCGGGGAGCTGCGACCTAAGACCCACCTTCGCATCCCTATCGACCACATGCTGAGTTTGACGAGGCAAGGAAGTGCCTGGAGAAAGTCGGAGGGCTCATCGACGAGTTTCTGCAAAGCCTGAAAGCTGCAGCCGCCGGAAGGCACATATCAGGGCCGTCGGGCATGGAGAACGAGAGTCGAGAGGCACACCATGCAACATCCCCATTCTTATGTCACGAAGGGTGGTGCTTGCATCAAGCGATTATTCCGGGCAACACAGACATCCGAAATCATCCGAACTAGTGGTCGCGCTTCGCTTGTCCGAAACCCTCCCAAGAACGAGTGCAAACAGGAGGTCGAGAATCAACCAAAAGACCTATAGATCATCGATCCGGCCGCCCTCAGCCTACCCCCCATGCAGCCGAGGACCCGGAGAAGCCACCATCATCGGACTTGGCTTTGGAGCTGAGGCAGCTACGGAAGGGAGGCCGGGGAGATGTGACCGATTCTCGGCCTGGAAAGCTGCAGGGTTGAAGGAACAGGGAATTAGCTGGGTGTAGGTGTGGGGGGGAAAGTGCGTAGGCGTTTGGTACTTGGACTGACGATTGCCAGGGTTTCGGTTCGGAGCACTCGTTTCTAGCTTCGCGTGCGACACGCCTCCGGTTGTTGTTGTTGTTGTTGTTGTTGTTGTTGTTGTTGTTGTTGTTGTTGTTGTTGTTGTTGTTGTGGTTGTCGTTGTCGTTGTCGTTGTCGTTGTTGTTGTTGTAGTTGTAGTAGTAGTTGTTGTTGTTGTTGTTGTGGTTGTTGTTGTTGTTGTTGTTGCTGTTGCTGTTGCTGTTGCTGTTGCTGTTGTTGTTGTTGTTGGTACAGACAAAAACAGCAGCCCGTACTTGTTGTTAATTAGAAGCAATTGGGAATGCTTCCGGCGACCGCATAGGGTGCATGTAGAGTTTTGGGAAGTTCAAGCCATGCCTGCCCCATGATAGAAATGCGGTGTAGGCTGGGTGGTTGTTGTAAAAGGTGGGGGTCAAAACAACAGACGGGGCTCCAGTTTTTGCCTCTACTACAGGGGGTAGAGACAAAGGCACCAGCGAAATCAGGACTTTGTCTCTATTCCCTGTAGTAGAGCCAAAAACTGGAGCCCCGTCTGTTGTTTTGACCACCCCCCCCTTTACAACAACCGCCCACATTACACCACATTTCCACCACAGGTATAGGAATCTGCGATATCCAGAAGGGGTTCTGATGGGTGTTGGAAGGGCTTGTCTGGAATTTTGAGGGGTTTGCATTGGATACCCGTACACTCAAAACTATAGTTACCAGTTACTCTACAGTAGTTTGTTCTGGCCTCGCAAATGCATATTCTGCACTGCGGGGAACTGAAATACACACCAAATCCATTGAAATACACACCAAAATCATTGAAATACACACCAAATGCACTGAAATACACACCAAATCCACTGAAATACACACCAAATACACACCAAATCCACCGAAATACACATTAAATCCACTGAAATACACACCAAATCCATTGAAATACACACCAAATCCACTGAAATACACACGAAATCCACTGAAATACACACGAAATCCATTGAAATACACACAATCCATTGAAATACACACCAAATCCACTGAACTTCGCACCAAATCCATTGAAATACACAGAAATACACGCGAAATCCATTGAAATACAGACGAAATCCATTGAAATACACACGAAATCCATTGAAATACATACGAAATCTACTGAACTATTCTGCACTGCGGGGAACTGAAATACACGCCAAATCCATTGAAAATACACACCAAAATCATTGAAATACACACCAAATGCACTGAAATACACACCAAATCCACTGAAATACACACCAAATCCATTGAAATACACACCAAATCCACTGAAATACGCACGAAATCCACTGAAATACACACGAAATCCATTGAAATACATACAATCCATTGAAATACACACCAAATCCACTGAACTTCGCACCAAATCCATTGAAATACACGCGCAATCCACAGAAATACACGCGAAATCCATTGAAATACACACGAAATCCGCTGAAATACACACGAAATCCACTGAAATACACGCGAAATCTACTGAACTACAGACGAAATCCATTGAAACTACGCACCAAACAGTAATTATACATCACAGGCATCCACAGGCACTGTGTTGTTGTTGTTGTTGTTGTTGTTGTTGTTGTTGTTGTTGTTGTTGTTGTTGTTGTTGTTGTTGTTGTTGTTGTTGTTGTTGTTGTTGTTGTTGTTGTTGTTGTTGTTGTTTGTTGTTGTTTGTTGTTGTTGTTGTTGTTGTTGTTGTTTGTTGTTGTTGTTGTTGTTGTTGTTGTTGTTGTTGTTGTTGTTGTTGTTGTTGTTGTTGTTGTTGTTGTTGTTGTTGTTGTTGTTGTTGTTGTTGTTGTTGTTGTTGTTGTTGTTGTTGTTGTTGTTGTTGTTGTTGTTGTTGTTGTTGTTGTTGTTGTTGTTGTTGTTGTTGTTGTTGTTGTTGTTGTTGTTGTTGTTGTTGTTGTTGTTGTTGTTGTTGTTGTTGTTGTTGTTGTTGTTGTTTGTTGTTTGTTGTTGTTGTTGTTGTTGTTGTTGTTGTTGTTGTTGTTGTTGTTGTTGGGGGGGGGGGGGGTAAAAAACAACATGACGGGGCTCCTGTTTTTGTCTCTACCTAATGTACAGACAAAACGCAGATATATGGGTTGACGGGGCTGCAGTTTTTGTTTGTACCTGGTTGTTGTTGATGTTGTTGTTGTTGTGGTTGGTGGTTGGTGGTTGGTGGTTGGTGGTTGGTGGTTGGTGGTTGGTGGTTGGTGGTTGGTGGTTGGTGGTTGGTGGTTGGTGGTTGGTGGTTGGTGGTTGGTGGTTGGTGGTTGGTGGTTGGTGGTTGTTGGTTGTTGGTTGTTGGTTGTTGGTTGTTGGTTGTTGGTTGTTGGTTGTTGGTTGTTGGTTGTTGGTTGTTGGTTGTTGGTTGTTGGTTGTTGTTGTTGTTGTGAGTGTGAGTGTGAGTGTGAGTGTGAGTGTGAGTGTGAGTGTGAGTGTGAGCGTGAGTGTGAGTGTGAGTGTGAGTGTGAGTGTGAGTGTGAGTGTGTGTGTGTGTGTCGTGAAACTCGGGAGGCATCCTACAAGGAACAGTCACAGTTTATGTACTTCTCACAGAAGCTCAGTACCTGGCTTAGGCTTAGACTAAGAAAGTTGTCAGCAGCTGGACATGTTTGTCTCAAGCTTGGCTTTGCGTTGCAGTCCAAGGCAGCATACGAGAGTGCTGTGCAGCGTATCGACAAAGAGTTGGACAAGTTTCTAATGGACATGTCCAAGCAAGTCACGGAGTCAAGCGCCTTTCGAACTGGTGCCTCGGCTGTGCTCGGTTTTATTGAGAGTTCACGCTGTATTTTCATGAGTATGAGTAGCTGGCGAGAGTGTTTCGACATGATGCAATTCCTATGGTATGCCGGTACAACCTGTGCTATCAGGACTGAAACATGAGCGGTAGGGTCATTGACTCAGGTCTGGAGGTCTTGAGTTTATTGATGAAGCTGCTGGACGATGGCCTCGGTGAACACCTTCCGCATCAGCATTCCCGAGTTCAGGATCAATTGCGGAAAGTAGACGCGGAGGCACATCTAGAGTTGGTGCACGATGATTGTTGCAGCCTGGTCTAGAACCGTAGATGCCGTAGATGCTGAACATATACTTTCTGCAATGCTCAGAGGGTGTGCGCGGATTATTCTCCGGAGGCGAAGATGCATAACGAGCAAATGCAGAGCCAGATCAGCTCCGAAGAGAACATCCAATGCCTTGGGAGGGAGTTGGACTTACTCAGCCAGCAGCCTGGTTATGCGCAGCGTGCTTTTGAACACTTTCAATCCTACTGGAAGGGTACAACCTACTGGGTCGACTGCCAGCGTGAGTACCGGCTTCGACGTGCTTGGCTGCAAGCAGAGTTCGTAGGAACTGCGACAGAAGGTACAAAAGAGTTGCGTGCCGAAAATTACGTTTTGCTTGGAAAGTACCTGGCGGTGACCTTCCACATCAGGAAACATCTAGGCAACCACTTGGACTACAACACTCGGCGTCAGATGGAAGGTCTTGAACATGATTCACGGGAGTACCAGGGCGCAAAGCTGCAGCATCTACTGTCACTCTTGCGTGGGCAGGACGCACGGACTGCCATTGCCCAGCTGGGAAGCTTGCTTGCAATGCAGAAATCTCGCTGTTCTGCACAAGCATGCGCCGGGCAAACTTCTGCGCGTCAATGAACAAACAGCAGTTCCCGTTCTGTACAAGGCAAAGATTACTAAGCAGCTCACTAGGTTTCACTCATCTGCTTGTTCCAAGTCTTCGACTTACGCACATGTCATCAATCAAAGCAAGTTAACATACCGCCGAGGACAATTCCTTGACTTTGTCCGCTATGTTCATCTAGCCTTTGACAGAGACACGTTCCATGATGCACTCTACGAGTTTGCCAGCGGACAGATGAAGCGACTTCGGAATGCCGTGAGTGATGTGGCCGTGGCCGATGCGTTGACGGCCGTGCAAGGCTTGCAGTCATTGAGCGTCGTAATGCTCACGCGGTTCATTCTCTACAAGCAAAACATTCCACCCGATTCGATTGTCGGTCGAGCAGGTCGAGAGAGCTGGGACAGGCTTGTTGAGTTCCAGGAGCGTGCGTTTGGAGGCAAGCTTGCTTGCGCAGGCGTGCACTTCGCCGTCTTGGACGTGCTACCTTCTGTGGTAGCAGCAGGGCAGGTGCAGCTCCCGTCTTCTGAAGAGATTAACAGGGCATTTCGGTCGAAGGCCTTGGAGTGCCATCCAGACAAGGCCCGTCAGATTGACAAAGCGAAACGCAGAAGTGTTTCCACAGAAGAGGCCGATCGCATGATGCACTCGTTAAATGCAGCAAAGACGTTTCTTACCAGGTCCAGCCTCAATAGCTTCAGGAACGACGTGCAGCGACTGTTTCTGCAAGAGCTACAGCCATTGCAAGACCCGCGCCAATCTCACGTGCAGAGGCTCATCGATGAGCAAAGGTATGGCATTCTTAACAAGATCCTTCTTGACCTGAATGATGTGGACAGGCAGCTCGCTAAGAGAATCGGCATCCCTGTTGAGAGCACATGGAAGGTGATCAAGAAGCTTCTGGTTCAAGATGTGCATAAAACTCAAGAATCACTGCGCGCGAACTGGGCGGGAGGACTGCTTCGAGAGGTTCACGAGGATCTAAGCAAGCTGAGCCTGGCCAAACGGGAGCTAGCAGCACATCCAGAGATCCTTCCGAACAGCATCATCGAGGAAGCTCGGGCCAAAGTCGAAGACGAAATCAAGCGTGTTGGCATTGAGGCGCTGGCCTGCTTGAAGCATCCCTCGCTTGCTTCAGCACTGAATGAGATCTTCCAGTTCGGCTCCCATCTGATCCGTCTCGGTCACATCTTCACTCACCTGAAAGACTTCAAGGTCAAGGCGGAAATGGAGGTGACGCACGCCTTGAACGTCTGCCAAGACAGGCATTGGGGAGCCAACTTCTTGATTGAGCTGGGCATGAAGCTCAATTTGGGGAAAATTGGAGACCCGAAAACGGATTCGACAGTTGCAAGGATCATTGCAAGCGAGTTCCCACACTTCGAGAGCGTGCGCACAGCAGTTTTCAACCGTGAGACTCGTGCCACGCAGAAGGACATCGGTGAGACACTGAAGGTTCCTTGACTTAAACTAGCTAACTGGCATGGTCTTCCTGAAACCTTGACCCCTCCCTGCGTGTCCGGCGCTTTTGCTCGCTTTCCGTCTCTTCCACGGAGTACTGTTTTGTGTCAGAGCATTGCCGTAGGTGGCAGGAAAGCTTAGGAGATTAGCTCTGTGGAAGTTGGCGCAGATGGCCGGCGGAGCGATAGACCTATCCCCATCCAGAAGCTCCGTGAAGGCTTCGAGGAATATAGCATGGCATTCGACGACTACTTGAAGGATTGGATTGTCCGTGAGCTTACGCAGGACCAGCTGGCGGACTCCATTATCAAGCATGCAGCTCAGCTGCGCTCAAGCGGGCCTGGCATTTGGTCACCAGACGTCAAGTCCGACTTTCCACGCTTGCTTGCTGCGATCTTTGTCCTTCATGCCATCATCAAATCGGGTGATGCCTTTGAGCGCTTGGATGATGCGTCGATGCAGCGGTCCATTCGAGATGTGGACAATGTCGAGTCTGCAAACCTCCGGGCGCAGGTGGGCCATTATTCATTTTGCGTTTTTTGGTTGCCAATATGGCACAGGCATTGCTAGTATCATCGGTTGATCGATGTTCTGGCTTCGGCGTTAATGGAATTAATCATGATAACTGTAATAGCAATAATGTACATATCTATATATTACACATTTAAACAATTCTGAACAGGTTCTTCGTATATTCCTGTTGTAGATCTATTCGCAGAGAGTGGCTGTTGTCAGAGCATGGAGGTAGATCACAAGAGTGCTTGCTGGTTGTCAGTCAGAGGTGCACTCTGTCAAGACTTTGTTTTGCATGATTTTGTGGTGTTCTATTTGGGCCAATATTTAGCAACAAGTATATTTACACCTCGCTCTCAAGCAATTAACAGTGCACAGCTTTGTTTTTGTGCTGTGTATTACTGGCAGAGTCAGCATGTCTTCCATGCATGTGTATATAGACATATAGATATACAATAATCAGAAAATCGATAGATAGCGAAATATGCGCATCACATATACACACGCACTCAATGCGCTCGTATGCATATCAGCCGTGATTTGAACTTTAATCTTTGCCACAATTTACAAGGGACAGCGGAGCTGCAAAATGTGCTGTCGCGAAAACTCCGCGAGCGGTGGCTCTGCGCCAGAATTGTTTTCTGCGAAAGAACTGCACGTTCCCTGTGAAGGGGGTCACGTCGGGATGAAGGAGTTTCGCTTAGTCTTTATGTAGACATGTACTTATGTCAGTATGAATATCTGCATGTAGGTATACTGACGTGCATGCATGTTCTGCGCATGTATGGAAATGGTGCGTGTGTGTGTGTGTGTGTGTGTTCATACACGCCTGCGAATTTAAGTATGTTGGGCAGAGATACAGATACATGCGCATATCAGATTCAGAGGACCTGCTCATCAAGCCACACCCAGTTCAGATTCTGACGCTCTTGTGCCTCACGGGCTACGCCGCGGAGACCGAGGATCTTGAGAATCATGTCATGCAGATACGCACGGGCGAGGGCAAGTCAATCGCCCTTGGTGGTTGCGCGGCTCTTCTTGCTTTGCTGGGACACCGTGTACGGTGCATCTGCTATTCGAAGTACCTGAGCGACAGAGACTTCAAGGCGTTCCGGTCCTTATTTGAGGCGTTGGCTGTAGAGAAGCGAATCGTCTACAGCATGATTACATCATACAGCTGCTTGCCAAAGTTCATGATCAGGTGTTCGAACTGTTCGTGTCTTCAGCCTCGCCCCGGCTAAACTTTAGGAGGGCTTTGAATGCAGGTGGGGGCAGGAGTGTTCATTCGGATTTTGTCTTGCAAGGGCATGGAACATATACAAGTGCTTCTCGCCATACACTGAGGTGAGGATGTTACACAGCGCAAAGGCGACATCCGCAAGTTGACACTCGATCTTGTCAAGACTGGCAAGTTGAGCACATCCTTGCACGCGGCCGAGCAGGCCACATTGGCCGATGAGGCTTCCAAGGCTCGGCGTTATAGGCTGTAGCACACCCTTGGTACAGTTACCGGAGTGATGGGCATTATCATTATTTCCGAAATGCAAGTCTAAGTGGTGCTGCATTGAACCAGCCGAAGCTTGCAGTAGGATTGAACAATACAGGTTCACATCGTTCCGACAACGCCGCCGAGTTTGTGGGTGCAAGCGCGAGCGGTTTTGTTCCTTAACAAGTGTTCTCCCCCGCCGCCGCACAAAGCACAACATGTTTCGGACTCGAAAACCATCGGGAGTTTGGCGTTCCTGCGCAACTTGTCCACAACCACAACTGGTCTTGCAAGCGCCGCTCTTTTGGCAATATCCTGACACCTCCACTGCCCACAAGTGTTGTTTCTTGCCCTTTCGCGAACTGACTGTGTCGTTAGAATCAGATCTATGCAGTATTGATAGCTTTCTTTTCGGTGTGGTGCTTCGCTTTGCACGGGGAGGTTGCATCGGCAGTCCAAACCGTGTTGTTTTCGCATCCATCCCCTCGATGGCCAGAGGCAATCTGTTATGGTCAAGCGAGCTTGGCGTCAACGGCAGCCACAGCTCCGGAAGAGCCGGCGGTGAAGCTTGTTCCATGTGGTGCAGAGGACATGGCAGCGATGGTGCAGACGAATGCAGAGCAAAGCGCAACTCCAGCATTCACAGCAGATGCGGAGGAAATTCTGCTGGTCGATGAAGTTGATGTTCTCTTCGGCAACAACTTCTACGGCAGGACGCACAACCTGGTCGCCCTCCTCGCGTCAGGCGCTGCAGAAGACCTGTTGCGTGAAGTTTGGAAGCACCGTGAGGATGGTGTACCTGTGAATGAAGTCATCCGGGTCGTAAAGAGCTCGCCTGCTTTTCAAGCCCTGTTGAAAGAGTTATCGGCTTTCGCAGACATCGTGCATGAAGAGACCGAGCGCATGTGTGTAGACCTAGCAGATCATGTGAACAACGACAGGGATTACGTTTTCAGCAACGGCAAGGTCTGCTACAAGGTCATGGATGGGCTCGCGTCCGATGTTGTCAAGGGCTATAAGACAGCTTTTGCGTATCTGCAGGAGGCCACCAAACACTCGTTGCAAAACGAAGCCCAGGTCCTTCGAAATGCCCTTTCTTTGCGTATTCCATGCGCTCGATTTTCGTATGCAGCCTTGGGATCTGCAAAGATTCTGGGTGTATCCGGGACAGTGCATGGATTGACTCAGTACCAGTGGCAGGTGATGCAGGGCTTTGGCATCAGCAGCTACACGCTGGTTCCATCGGTCTACGGCCGCAACAATTTTGCCTTCCTAAGCCAGGACCACGGCAGGCCCATCACGGTCTCCAAAGACTTTTTCCATGACGTCGCGACGCAGGCACGAAGCGGCCAAATATCACAAGAAACTCACAGTTGTGCTTCAAGTGGTTTGCCTCGCGGTGCTACTCAGTGTAAGGAAGAATGCAGTGTAGCTCCGGCCGACATGTAGACGCAGACCTGGAACCTTCGCTACATCTCTTTACCGGTTCTGGTCGTTTAGCGGTTTGTTTGCTTTGCTCGCTGATGCAGAACACTGTGCCCGACCGTGCGCAGGTAAACCAGAAGATCCAGCAAGGCCGCGCAGTCATCGTCTTCTTCAAGGATGTGTATCAGGTAGAGGACTTTCAGCGTTCCCCCTACTACCAGAAGGTCCAAAACAAGACGCCTGGGCAAAATTCGTAGCTGACATACACAAATCACAGGCCATTTTATTCTTCCTTTGTTCTGACGAACGGAGATCTGGTTGCCTTGAGGAACGTGCTACTCCCCAGCCTGTTGGACAAGGATAAGGATTGGATTATCCGGAAGGCAGCCACGGCAGGTCAAGCGACCTTTGTCGCTGCCCCAGTCCAACGTGTAAAATCCACAGGTCCGCGCATCGCATCTCGGAGAAGGGCGGGGGTGCGGGGGTTAGCTTGTCAGTGCCATTGAGGCTCCTGCGATCTTTGGTCGTGGCACGGATTTTTGCTGCTTCCGGACTGCAACTTATGAAAGGTCCGTTTGACAGTGCATAGGTACCCATGTACGCGCGAGATGTCCTTGCAAGAGCAGCAGCATGCAGCAGCTCTTTGTGATTTGTGGCATGAGGCTGAGTCTTGAGCCATGTTACATGTTACATGTTACAATGTTGCAAGTGAGTCGTCTCTTGAGGCTATGATGAAGAGCTCGAGAAGGCGGTTCCAACCCATGCAGCTTGTAGGGCCTCCTAATACGGATCTTCATCGAGCAGAGATAGAAGCGGAGCGTTGTCTCAAAATTGCATGTGATCGAACATGGGCGACGAGTGCCGACATGCATGCACGCTGCAGGCGGGTGGAGTCCACGTCATCCAGGCCTTCTTCTCCCTAGACCAGAGTGAGGAGATCCAGATCCAGGGTCGCACCGCGCGCCAGGGAAAGATGGGCACGTATTCTCTCATCTTGGCCGAGAGCGAGCTCCAGGACCTGGGGTTGCAGCCAGGTGACCTGCAGACTTTGCAAGCGCAGCAGCTCTACGAAGTTCTTTGCACCACACGAGAAGCTGTGCAGATGGAAGCCAGCAGCCGAGTGGACAAACGACTGCATGAGGCAACGACACTGGATCGGCAGTCGCATCTGTACTTCGACGCACTTCTTCGGGGAGATGTGCCAACAGCACGAACGAAGCTTTTAGCACTCTACAAGTCACGAGCATCAACAGCAGCTGGCCATGGCTATCATGTTGTTTGCTGCTATGATGACTCAACCTCCATGTCGGAGGGAGGCAAGTGGGAGGCTCTTGTGCAAGCACATGAAGCTTGCATGAATACCTTGAAGCAGCTGTCGTCTGTGCAAGTCTCCATCGTCCAGTTCAGTGATGCGGTTGAAACAGTGCTCAGCCAGGCTACGCCGTCCCAGGCAGCAGCCCAAAAGCTGACAATGCAGTGGGGACAGACATTGTTTGAGCCAGCTTTGGCGACAGCGCACCAACACATGCGTGCTGGATATCACAAACTCACCCCGGTGCTCCTCTTCATGTCGGACGGCATTAACCAGGACGGTGCATGCACACACAGCATCCAAGCTATTGGGCACGAATTCCCCAACCTGATCTTCCACGCCGTCATCTTTGGCCAGCCCGACTCGCAGAGACTTCGCGGAATGGTGGCTGCAGCGAAAAACGGGCACTTCCATGTCTCTGCTGACGGTGTGCAGCTGGAGCAGACCTTCAAGTCCATTGCAAGTAGCCTCGAGTACACCGGCCAGTGACATTAGCAGAAAGTGACAGGCTCGTTGTAGAGGTTTCCACCACAAGTGTCGAACACCTCGTCATACATGCCAGGCCTTGCATCGCACCACCAGCGGTTTAGAACATACATGAACATACCCAGTTGTCTCTTAGACTCCATGTTAACGTATGGACACCCCCTATCAAAGAGCTAGGCCTTGGCACTGACTTTTTAGTTTGTGATGTTCGGACAGGGTCGATCCCGGACCCCGGGAACATGTTATGAGTCCGGATGCATCCAAATTGTTTCGTTTCATGCTGGCAGTATCGCATCCATGGCGTACAGAGACATGGCGAAGGCAATCTTGCAGCAGATGCCAGAGATGCAACGTTTTAGAACGAATGAACTATCACATGCATCGAAAAGAAATGAAAAGCCTGCTCCGTGCAATGGTCACCCACTTTCTGCTGGAGTCTCTTCACACATGTTTCTTATTACTTGCTCTGCTACGGAGGTGCACGGTTTTGCTTCGATTGCAGTGCTGCCTCGAGATAGTGCAAGTCCAGCTAGCCTGCAACAGGTCTTTCTAGTGCCATGTGGAAGTTCTCGGCATTGCTTGGTGCCGCCACAGGTTCATGGACCTTCATGGACACTAAGTCACTAAGCTGGCGAATATTCCCGCGCTGAGCCATTACCCAGGAAGTGCAGCGGACCACAGCACCAATCGTTGGTGGATGATATTCTCAGGAAGTGTTTCCTACTACGACCTCTCAGGCAACACGTGGACACTCAGTGCCGACGGATCTCTACCCGCCGATGGGAGTGGAAGCTAGTGCTGGGCGCCCCTGGATTTCTGGATGTTCAGGTTGACCACTCAGGTTGACCTTGCTTAGGTCCAGTGCTGTGCATTTTCAACAGCAGCGCGTGGACCCAAGTGCCAAGCACAGGGCCGGGTGCTCAGTTTTTTTGATAGACTCAGCTGGTCAGATCTGGTTGCTGGGCGGCCTCGGTAGTGGTGGCACTTCGTACAACGATGTGTGGGAATATTCACCTTGGACAGAGAGGTACAGTCTTGCATCTTTGTTCGGTGGTCCAGCCTACTTGCCATACGGGGATGCCGTCATAGACAGCTCTGATGCAATTTGGTGTGTGCCGTTCGAGGCATCATCACCAAGCCTTTACAGCTTCAACGCCGGCAGCTACACAAACCCTTGAGATTGGCAACTAGACTGGATTTCTTGGCCGCCCATCATGAAATGGCAATGGACAGTTACTTCGACGATGGCCAGCAGCGGAGGTCCTGTCCGGACTGGAGATGTTGTCATGACTGTGGACAGCTTTGACAAGGTCTTTGTCTACAACAATGATTGCATCTATGATTCCATGACCAGTCTGTGGCGCAAAGTAGCGTTGCAGGAGATCCTGTAACGTATTATGAGGATCGGAAGGTCGAGTTTGAGCTCCCATCGGGGCAGTCTTGATTAGGACGCCTGATATGGAGGTTTATGCGGAGCCATTCCGTGGAGTGTTGGCAGAGCAGTGGATCGAGCGCATCAAGGTCTACACTCTACACTGTTCCAGAACGAGAGCTTGAAGGCGTCCATCAGCATCCAAGGTGACATTGTGTTTTTATGGCATGTCGGAGAAAGGGCCAGGAGCCTTTTCCACGCTTGATGTGGTCTTCCCATGGATCAGCTCGCAGCCATTACAGAAGCTCCCACACAACATGTACCACGTCCGCAGTATCGACTTCACGTGCAAGCAGATTCTACAGATCTCGCGCTCACCAGCACCTCCGCGAGAAGTCGTTGCCATTGAAAGCAAATTTCTGAGCATGCCCCTGGACAGACCAAGCCAAAAGCATGTCTTAAAGCTGTTCAGCAAGTTTTTGTTGGAATCCCGTATGTGCCGTTCGTGTGCTGCCAAGCCACCCCCCGAGCCCAGGCTAGTTTTCTCCAGCTCGGCCATGGAGCACTACAATAGCAGTGTGCTTGCGGCGCAGCATGCCCACCTCGACTGTTGGTTTGTAAAGATGAAGAACGAGAGCAGTTTCACCGGCTTGCTCCCTCATGTATGGGGCATCAACCCTGAAAATGACGCTGTCCCAGTCTGTTGGGGTGACAGTGTTCAGCAGCTTAGAACAGCCCAGGTTTTTTTTTTGCGGACATGAAAAGTGCAGGTGCTTGAGATGCAGTTGCCATGCTGACTGAACACTGCGTGCTGCATGCGTGCTGACCTGAAGCTTGATGCAGCTCTTAGACGTTCACGCTTTGACCTTCAGTTATGCATCGCGTGGAGCTGACATGTGGGAGTTTCCGAAAATGGGGGACCCCAATATAGTACCCCAAATAGTAGGATCCTGACAGGGATCCTGATATACATATATATATATATATATATATATAAAACCAACCCAATTTTTCGGAAACTCCCATGAGCTTGTTTTGGCAATCCGTGGAGTTTGTTGTTCCGGCAGTTGCTTCAAGTCGCGGTGAGCCTGAAAACGCAGACGGGAGCAACATCCTCAAGACCGCGGTGAAGGCCTGCCTGCTTTCACTCTGTAGCTGAGTAGGTAAACCTTAACCCCTGTTTTGTGTGTACATGCTACAGCGTTTTTCGTACGAACGAAGTCTTAAAACATTCCAAGGCGAAGCTTTAAGCGACAATGCGCAAAACATCGCAAAACCTTGTATGTGGAGAAACAGGGGCCCCACAGCGTCCCTTTCTGTAACCTTTTGGGGTCTATATAGTCTGTATAATCCTACCATAATCAAAAGGTTAACCTTTTTTCGGCTAGGGTATTCAGCCCCTAAGTGCAGGAGTGCTTGCCGTCTCAACTTGTGACGGTGCAGTTCTGGGAGTCTCTTGTTAACCGAAACATGTCAGCCAGGATTGGGGTAAGGTTTTTTCTCCTTGCTTGGGGTCGGCTTATATTTTAAGGTTTAGACCTTCCCGGAGGGCCCCAGTACTCCCTAACTAGGATGCTGTTAATGCTCGTTTTGATGCTCCTGGTGCTCGTTTTCATGATGCTCTCGGTTCTTTAGAGTCTCTGTCGAGTCTCGAAAGAATCTCCGCCAGTACTGCGTTTTCAGATCAGATGCAGTTGAGATTCTTGGCGAATCGTTCTGCGCCTGGACAAGTTGAGGAGGCCAGGTCGACTAGACGTGGTTGTAGCGTCCAGGGAGCAAGCAATGCATGTCAAATAGGTTCTTATAGATTCAAAGCCCATGGCTACGCCTGACATGCTAGACAAGCCTACTAGTAGTAGCAGTAGTAGTAGCAGCAGCAGCAGCATAATAATAATTATTATTAGTCGTAGTAGTAGTAGTAGTAGTAGTAGCAGCAGCAGCAGGAGGAGGAGGAGTAGTAGTAGTAGTAGTACGTGGCAGTGGTAGCGGTAGTAGTAGTAGTAGTAGCAGTAGCAGTGGCAGTAGCAGTAGCAGTAGCGGTAGCGGTAGCAGTAGTAGTAGTAGTAGTAGTAGTAGTAGTAGCAGTAGGGGGCCGGCCTTTGTAGCAGTCTAGGGCCATCGCGAAAAGTTTCGTTCTTGCCCCGTCTTGGTGGAATCGAGTTGGTTCCAGACCTGTATATCAGGGGGATTAACCGGTGGAATGGGCTTTGCAAGGCATATCATGATTCTTATATGTGCTGGTAGTATTCTAGTATACTGTAATAGTAACAGGGATTCAAAGGCAGATGTATAAGTATGTATTCAAAACCCTAAGCCACTTGGGTCATCTGCCGGAAAGGTCTGCATTCCGCTTCTTTCACTTCCAGTGAGGTGTTCCGAGACGAAGGGAACTCGCCTGCGGGGGAATCTAGTTCAAACTGTCATATCAGCGAGATCCTTATACGGAAAAAGCCGCGGGCTCCTGTCGTTGTGGTTGATGGCCCAACCGCCGAAGCCTTTCTTTTGCTACCCGTTGGCATTCGAGGTCTTTCTGTGCGGCCTGCACCCAAAATTCCTTGACACTTCGGTAATTGCAAGTTTTCCTGTGGTATCTGAGACTCATGGCTCTGGTCTGTACGGCCCGTATCTTGGTCTTGCTTTTGTCAGCCCTGAGACCTGAGTTTGCGCTTTCCGGAACTCTAAGTTGTACAGGCTGCATCTACTCAGTGTACTATTTTGGAGCCTGACAGCGCGTGTTTCATCTGCAGTTATTCCAGCTATAGACGAAGTCAGAGGTCATGAACTGCTCACCAAGTCTCACAACGCCCGCTTATCCATGAATCCATGAACGACTGGGTCGGTCTTACATTCTCTTACATGCGTCCTCACGATATTCGTGGTTCCCTCCGATCAGAATGCGAAAGTTTAGGAGACTGGGGTACGTGAAAGTCTCGCTTAAAGCACGAGTCCGCAATAAGCAGCAGGCCCTTTTGCTTATTCTGCGTTCCGGACGACTTTAGCCTGGTACGGGTTGGGACATGGGGACTGGGCGGTTCAGTTGTAGCGTTTGGCAACTCTTACTGCCTTGGTTCTATGATGCGGCAACTTGCTACTCTGAAGAAAGATTACCACAGTTCCGAGCCAAATGCCTGACAGATTGGGGTCTGAAGGCTGAACTTTGAGTGCGGCTTGCTGCACTTGTTGCATGAGCAACATGGAAAATCGGACGCTTCTGTTGCCATGCATGAGGGCACGCTGCGCTGTTTGTTTCGCAAACCTACGCTCTGTGCTGCCGAGAAACATGAGGCCCGAGGATGATCTTCATGGTAGGAGCCAGTCACGAGGTGGGCCCAATCTTCCGCATGCGAGCAGCTGTCGCCTAACTCCAGCGATCCATGGCATTCCATCATCATCTAATGGCAGCAAGATATCCAATGAGCAAAAGGCTCCCAAATTCATCAGAATTCTTTCAAATACACCACAACCTATACCACAGCCCAAACTTTCAGTGAGGTCCCAAGTCCCTGAAACATTGCCAAAGATGCCCCGGCGCTCAACGGCCGGGGCTCATGTCGTCCTCCGAAGCTCGGATGCCCCGGGACCCGGATGCAGGCGGGATATCAGGTTTGGGGTTGAGGGTTCAGGAGGAGTCTGTTTTTTTAGGCTTGAAGTTTCGGGAAGTGTAGGTGTGAGACATAATTAGGCATGGTATAGGCTCAATTCTAAGTTCAGGGTTGTAGAGGGTTTGGGGTCGGTATGGTGGAGGGTCTGACGGCTCGCGAAGGCTTCCTTCTCATTTTTTGCTGTCGTGGGATTGGCGGACCTTTTTCTCACGACAGCTGGATGCAACTTGATGCAGCCTTGTCTCATGTGGGGCAGAGGGAGGGAGAGCAGCATTGGTGTCAGTATGTGGTCTTCGACACAGACTCGTGCTGACATCCAGTGCTACGCAGGCCAGCACATCCTTCCAAAACCTTGCATAGGTTTACAGACCTGGTCCGCTTAGCATCTTCAACAAACCAGCCCGTTCGACCATAATTACGCACAGGAACCCGGATCACGGATCTGGCTCCGTCCGAGAAGAACTACAAGTTCGGTTATCTCATGATCATGAGAACTCTCATGAGGATGCCTCTAGTTGTCATCAGAACGGCTTCTCTTTTAGAAGCAAACAAGAAACTTGAATACATTCATAACTTCATGCGAACATATCTGTATGTGGTGTGTGGGTGTGTATATATATATACATATGTACAGTGTAGTTAAGTGTAGTTCTTGTGTGACAGAAACTGTTACGATGAGCCTAAACCATAAAACCTCCTAACATCCCACCCCCCGATAACTACAGAGCCACAGAAGAGGCCACCCAGTTTCGAAGGCTTTGAAGGAACCCCGCAAGGAAACTTGACAGCATTGACAGGACGATTCTCAACACCTAAAATTCCAAGCCCCAAGTACCCGAAACCACCCTAAACCCCAAAATCTAAGCCCGAAGTACCCGAGACCCTAAACCCTAAAGTCTCTGTGGTTCGTCGTTCATGGAAAGCCAGGCACCGGCGAAGCGCCGGACCCGGAGACCTGCCCGGCCACATCTTCCTCCGGGTGCTGCCCTTGCAGGGGGTGTTTTGGGTTTAGGGTTTATGGGGTGTAGGGTTAAGGGTTCCTTTACAATTTACAGGTCCCTTAAAAGGTTCCAACTGTCTAGGTGTTGGGGGTTTGGGGGGTTTAGAGTTCAGGCTTTGTGGGGCTTAGGTTGTGGGTGCCTTTAAGGGTTTCGGGTTTGGTGCCTCCGGGTGCTGCTGGGAGGGGAGGATTTCTCTATATCGGGTTTGTCAGGTTTTTTTCCATGGTGAGGTTGGCAGGGGGGGGGTTGGGTGAAGGGCTCGGGACTTGGGATCTGAGGGTACAGGATGCTGACTGCTTAGATGTTTCGGCGGTCATGTAGGGTGGTCTCAGGGGTTCCGGGCTGGTTTGGGTTACGATTTTCATATTGGGCGTTATGGAGGTTTCTCAGGTTTCATACGCACGGCTTTTTTTAAGGTTTCAAGCTTCAGGCAGGGTGTAGGATGTAGGACCCTAAACCCTCAATTTAGGGTTTAGGGTTTAAAGGGAACTCCAGAAAGTTGGAATATGGTTTCAGGGTAGGATACCCTATAATTTACCATAAAGGGTTTAGGATAATTATATTCCAACTTTCTGGCTTTTACTTTAAGGTTTACAATGTAGGTGCCAAGGAGCGGCCGGGGGTCCGGTTCGGACTTCCGGTTCGCAGCATTTAAGGTGCTTGGGGGGACCGGCGTCAGGCGTCGGGCTAGGGCTTAGAGATTTTTGGAGCTCACTGTCACTGCTTATGTTCCATAGGTTTGAGGTTTATAGGTTGTAATTAAGGTTTATAGGTTTTCAGGTTTATAGGTTTTAAGGTCAATGGCTTACAGCACTTGGTGTGTAGAGCCCTGCTCAATGCTCACGCTGGTTCGGGGTTCGCTGCTGGGCTGTCAGGTGCTCCTCGTCCGTGGAGGAGAAAGATTCTCGGCTGCTGGAGGTGTGTAGTTATGGTAAGTTGGTCATAGGAGGCCAAAACAGGTTTTAGCCTATGGGGGGTTTCGTTGGGATTAGGGTTCCCATAATGGGGTTCATATTAAGGAATCCCTACCCCAAGAATCTTAAACCACCCTTTTGGCCTCCCGTCAGTTGGGCTTGAGGGTCTTGGGTAGTTGAGGCTATCAGGGCCAAAGCCCTAAGCCCCTCTCCATCACCCCAAAACCAAAAGAGCTTATCTAAC